TTCTTTAGAACAGCCTTTCAGGCTGCTTGTGACAGACCTCATTCTTCTTACGCTTTTAAGGAAGGTGGTGTGGCCACTTACTGGATCAGTAAGACTGCTTTCAAAGCACGGTCAAGTGGTTTTACTGTCTAAATAGGCAAATGCCATTCTTTGCCAGATGACAATTAAGGTCCACGTATCACTCTTGAGACAACAACTGAAGTGTCCTGCTTAGAGTAATGCAGTTTCAGACAGCACTGTGAAAAATAATGACGATTAATTACATATAATTAGCACACTATTTTAGAATTACATTGGCATAAAGGAAGCTAGTTTTTCTTCTGGAGATTTTTCGACCACATTAAAGCAGTTTTGGCCACGCTTGTCTCAATGGATTCACTTCTAATAGAGTAAGAGGCTTGATTCATAAGGGAAGGTTTTTGATTAATTATGTTTGTTATATTAGCATGAAGGAGGAGGTTTTTTGAGAAAGTATTTACATAAACAGCATTTATACAGCACAACATTTGCAATCCAAAAGCATCAGTGAGCTGCTTTGCAGGCAATGCAGAAGGGGATTGCTTTATCTTAAGTTGAAGTAAACCCACTGTTAAAGTAAATATGCAGTAGCAACACCACCTAACAAAGGGAACATGAATAATAACTTTTCTAATTTAAGCTGAATGTGGGAGGATATAGGTAGGCAGCAAAAGAAGTTGGAAACCGATTTCCAGTATGATTCATAGAGATTTTCAGCAGTTGCTTGCACAGGTAAATTATAATAGTTGACATTTACATACAGCTTTTCACGTATTAAAACCTGATGGGTTTAGGGCTTTTTCTTTTTGGCAAATTAAATACTGAAGCACAACGAAGTTAAGAAACTGGGTCATGATACGATACTGACTGTGTCAAGTGTCTTGACTTTCAGACACAGAACTGATCCACTGATTCTGCAAAATACTGCTCACCTTTAAGTGAGAGAAATTAATTGTAAGATGAATGGAATTGCCTACAGAAGTTAGGGGAGAATTTTAACATCACTAGAATTGTACCAATAATGTCTGTGGCTCATGAACAATGGTAACCAAAAGGATGTACTAGTACTTTAATAAGATTATTTCTTTGTTCCACGCTCCTTCATTACCAAAAACGTCTAGAATCACTCCCTACCCACACATTTACCAAGCCAAAGGGAGCTCCCCATTGCTATTACGTTTCCAATCTCTTCCTCCTACATTTTTCTTCTCATTTCATATTACACAACTAGATTTGGCATCATTTTTTCTTAACAGAGATCAAAATTAGGTGTTCTGACACAAGAACAGAAAACAAGAATAATCCAAATGATGTCCATGGCGCTCTACTACATACTAAAAATGAAAGCAGCATTTGACTCAATGCTAATATAGTGACTCTGAAACAGTGATGACACACAGAAAAAAATTAGAAAGCCAACAGTAATTTCCAAACTGCACTTTCCACATTCTTTGGTCTTACGTAGATTTTGTTATCATTGCTTCTGTTAGGGGCAATGTAAAAATAAAAATAATTACAAAAAACATCCATACCAGTCTGTCTAGAGGACCAGTCAAAAAAAAAAAAAAAGAAAAAAAAGAGTGAGGAATAGGATGGTTGTCCATTCACAAATTTGTGTGGGGCTGCCCTAGGAGCAGTTGCTTAGTTTGTTGCTTAATTCATAAACTTCAGTTCAAAGCATCAATTTACTTTTACTTGCAGCTGATAGCAATTTTGACCCAGCCTTTTAGAAAGGGTAATGCTGTATTATTTCAATATCATCAATTAAATACTTTATACTAAATGTATGTAAATGGCAGCAATAGACATTTTAAATTCCTTTCAAGTCCTTTGCAAGCAATTTTCTTGCAGCACTGTAGAATATCAAGATTCCAGGGTATCAGTATCATTCCATAGACTTTCACACTACGTAACATTCTCCAATGAAGAAAAGACATTCCATTAATAAGAATTTATTAGTATATTTGGAAGGGATCTGCATTAAATCTTTACAGTACAAAATTAAACATGGCTCCATGCTGAGTCCAAAGTGTGCACGTTACTTCTTAAAAGTGCATGACAAGCATCTTTTTAAAAACAAACAAGAAAAGAGAATGTCCTCCTCCCCCAACAAAAAGGAAACCTCTAAACTAACAAAAAAGCAAATGGTAGAAAACTGTTTTGGGCAAACCACCTCAACTCCAAACAATTTTAATAGGCACCTACTGTGGCTTCTGGAAGCATTGTTGCATGCATATCTCTAGTCATATTGGATTTCTCCTTCAGCTTTGACTGGAGTAATGTGTGTTCTATTACACCAATTTGTATGTCCACCTGAATGGTTTCTTGCTTCAGTTTTGTTAAGGCCTGTTTAATCCTCACTAGAGGAGCTGTTAAAAAAAAAAAAAAAAAAAAAAAAAAAAAAGAAAAACAGTGCAACTCTGTCAGCTACTTAACACAAAAGCACTATTTTCTATAATTCATTCCTTAAAATTGAAGACTTGAATGAACAAAAGGGCGTTCCACTCTAAAGACATGATTGTACTGATACATCATTTGTAATATGCAAGACATTTTAAAAATAGAAATAGGCAATGACAATTTTGCTATCTTGACATCTAACATCTGCATAAAGATGTGCACCAACATTAAGATAGGTTTGTCAATGATGTGTTTTGCTCAGCTGAAAGCCTCATGCTGATACCTGAGTTGGGGTCTGGCAGAGAACTGAGGACACCTTCAGCAGGTTTGTGAAAAGCTATTCAAATGTTTTGTGCTCCATAGTTTGTTTCTAATCCCTCGCTTCCCGCTAATATCACCCTAGGGATGCTGCTGCTGCATCCTATTGCTCCTTATAATTCTAGGCTCTAGATTTTATCCTGACCCTTGGCCATGCCATAATACAGAAAAGGTTTCGTGTAGGCAGGTGAGTAGCTCCTTCACAGTGAAGCAAGGGTGCACAAAATTTCCTTAAACAATAACACAACTAGTTAAGTAAATTAGCTGTAATGGTTACAGTTAAATATGGATATAGTTTGCATATTTAGCACTACTGTAGCATTCATGCATCTATTTCTGCATTTATATTCCTTATGTATTTGCAACAGAATGCATGTATTGGCAAAAATCTCAACTAAATCTCAAGTCTGAAACAAACTAGTTAAAATAGGTATGTAGTTTGAAATATTAAAATGTCCAAACATCAAAACACCAAAATGAATTTTCTCACTGATTCCAGCCAGCTTTAGTCAGGGAATCTAACAGCTACTGCCAGTAACTATTTCAGAGTAACAGGGCTTGAACCTGTAACTTGTGAATTTCTTCCAGTGAGTTGATAACTATTCAAAGCAGAGACACCACCCGCCCCCTCCTTTCTTTTTATTTTTACAAATATTTTACTAAAGGGGGAAATCCTGGAATATCTACCTTCTGCAGACTTAGGCAACCTTTTCAAAGAGGTTGACACTCCTGATTTTCTTAGACACCTTTTAAAATTTTAATATTGATATTTTAGAGTAGTCACTCTTTCTGGTCTTGTTTTCTTTTTCTTTAATAAATGACAAATTATGTACCTGTCACTGAGAAAATGGGTGTTTGGTTTGAGGCAAAAAAATACTTACCACCATCAGTCATACTGCTTCCTTTCTCTTCTGTTTCCTGCTTTACTCTCTCTAATACTTCTGTAATCTTAAAATACAAATTTTTTCTCAATTAAACCAGATGAATGTCAAGTTAAAAAAAGAAAACAAAAAGTTCTTTGCTGAGGAACTGCATTCGTTAAAAAAATGAACTAATCTGTCTTAGTCATTGTATATAGAGTAACAATTTTTTTCAAACATGAAGAAAATTTTAATTTAATGAAATTAATGTAAAAATTACGGTAATGAACTAATCTGTCTTAGTCATTGTATACAGAGTAACAATTTTTTTCAAGCATGAAGAAAATTCTAATTTAACGACATTAATGTAAAAATTACGGCAGAAAGAGTAACAAGTTGGCCAAACAACATGGTGTTACTGAGACTCTGCGCATCCCAAACCAATAAAAACAACAGTGTTAAGTGTTGCTAGATGGAAGATAGGAACCAATATCCCCGCAGACCAAGATTCACCAAATGACCATGCCAGCTGCCCTTCTGGAAGTGTCAGGACTTCAGC